ACTTCCACTTAAAAAGAATTATCCCTGTTTTCGGGGTCAACGTTCATGTACGAAATTATTTGCACTGTTAATCATAACGGCATCATCAGTGGCCTCTATAGTGGCATGTAAGAAGACGGTGTTGTAATTTTGTTTTAAACTTAGCAGTGTCAACTGCTTTTTCAATAGATCATCTTCACGTACTGTTGGGAGGATCTACATCCGAACAATATGTTGCCATATTTTGTATTGAATTGTCAACAATGAACAGTTGAACATCACCAACACGGCAGCTACGCCCACGTTCCAGTAGGAACCCCCTTCTCGGACATAGGGCGTTCAGCGACACACTTCTCAATATGTGACATGTAACATCTGTCGTAGTTCTATCCTGAAAGTTGCAGGCTAATCATTCTCTGACATCCATTCACCTCTCCGTGTAGTGTTAGATTGATATGACGCTACAGTACATTTGGTGACAAATTACCGCATTTGTGAACAGAATGATAGAGCACCAATGCTCTCCAAATAAACTACAATCGCGATTCTGTCGGCATCACAAGGCATACTTCCTCATTACTTGAGTTACGCTACTTGAACAGGCGACGTGAACCAGCTAACTCGAAGATCTTGAGCGCGGAAGGGTGCATCAAAGCAAACTAGTCGAAAACAAAGAAAATCTAACAACCCACAGCAGTAACGGTCAACATAATTGAAAAAGCTAATGAAAAATAACTGGAAAGATTTTAAGTCAAATAGTCGTTAACAAACTCAAATCAACTCTTCAAGAAACATGAAAGTAAATTTTCGATAACGACTCGATAAATAGTGACTTCAAAGCTGGTCTTTGGAAACGGTCTATGAATAAAAATCAGACTGCTTTTCTTCTTACTTAGTGCATCTTCATCTTTGGGTTCCTTTTTAATTTCTGTGCTAACTTTGGTGATTCAATGAAGATAATCGCACGTAACTTAAAAAGGTTATCACGATTGCCGTGAAAGACTTTTATTCTCAAGTCCTTTTTTATCCTGAACACTTAGTTACCACGGTGATTTAGTTAGAAATAAATCAAAAGTGATTGATTAGATAGAGACCAGAATATATGTACTTCACCAGTAGAGGTAATACGATGAAAGGTATACGGTACTGGTAGCATGAATCTCTACGCAGCTTAACTCACGTCCAAACCAGTAACATGATTGGGGCTAAAATGCTTCACTTAGTCGCCTCATTCTGGTTGCATTCCGGTTACTATGACCTTGACCAAGAAATTCCGTCTCATGTATAGGGTTCACAAAGACCCATCAAGGTCGTTGTGTGTTTAATACAGCAAAAGCGGAAGGAATTGGGGCAACCAAATACTTCCTATGTGCTGATAGCTGTTTGTGCTGGTAAGAAAGCTTCACTTGCTAACTTCCATATCCCAAAGTATCTTAGAGCATAGATTTCAGGATGAATAACATAGATGTGGTCATAGTGATAACCATATCCGGGTTTAAAATGAACTGGGCCTTAAATAATCTGTGATGTGACTTTTCCTGTCCCAAACAATTCTTGTTCAAATATGGGCTCATATATTGTGATGTACTCAAATAGCCACGAATCACTGAAAACGAGATCGTTCACCATTATGCATTCTGTTTTCAATGAGCTATGTGCGACTGTATAGAATATCCTATCTCGTACTACAAACCTCTTATAACAATTCTGTTACGAAGTTGCCACTGGATTTATCAAATCCTCTGATGTGATGGACCAGGTTTTAAAGATGAACAAAGCAGCTTAAAACTCATTCAATAAACTACCGGATGGCGGTCTTGCACAAAACACGTTGTGACTTCAGTTGACATATTTGTTTGAATGGTGATAGAACACCAGGAAACGACATTCTGTTGATTATCGAGGCACAGACCGAAGACGAGAGTGGTATCGGTGCTTGATATGCGGAGGTCGGAAACGACCGTTAGCGGCCAAGGGTCAACTCTGGATAAATTGAATGACAATCTGAAATCTCAGTCACATGTCATACGGAACGTCAGTTAAAATAATGTGAAATTTAATGAAATAAATCACTAGTAATTCTCAAACCTTTATGACTGTATTAACAATGGACATCGTGGCTGGATTGCTGCTTTCCTAAAGGCTTTCCGATTTCCATCACAATGTGACACACTTGTTGGCTTGTTTGAAAGCATCATTCACACACGTATGCAAAAATTCAAAAAATCAATAACAACCTGAATCCAGCTGATGAAGTTATTTCATCCATTACGTCCAACTAAATAAGCCCGTTAAAATCGAAATTTACCTCCTCCAGTATTGGATACAGTAACACCACCACTGTTTTACGTGCGAGTTTATCATGTGACCATACCTGTCAGTGTACGGTCAACACTCAAAGATTTCAGCATCACTGCTTGCTTACTTTCTGTGATAGACTGCCGCAATCCTCCAGGCTCATCATCCTCATCTTGTTGGTCATTTTCTCCTCCAAATATCATTACGATGCGGCGAGTCAGATTGCTTATTCCTTTCTCCTGATCATGATCTGAATCAGTGGTCATTGTACCTTGGTTGTCAAAGTTCACTGCTGTCAGGTTCGCATGTGCAGGCGTGCTCGCATCGTCGGATAACGTGCGCTCAACGAGCAAGTCCATTCCAAAATTAGCTGTATATCCGTCAGTACTGCTGGTCGGCGTTTTATCGAGCACAACTGCGATTAATCTGTTGTTCACTGAAATGAAAATTCCCCACTTGCGGATAATCTTAATTTTTACGTGAACGATAGAGGTGGTCATCAACCTATACGTACATAACTCGGTGGCACTCGATTAAGTGTGTTCAACAAATCTATGATTAACTTGAACTCACTAACAAAAATTCCTCCAATCCCACATTTCCCGGTGATTTTAAATTTGAATCGTCAGAAACATTCGTAAGTTTGCATATGCCAAATAAAATTCAACGCCACTTGTATATTTGTATCAAATTAAATGCCTGTTTAGCATCATACCTTAGCATTATTGCAACCAAACAGTAGACTAGGTGGAATAACACAAATGTAGGTAAATTTAAACAAACTGAAACGTATTCATACGACACCAGTCAGATAATTTTGCAACAGGATACATACAGACGGGTCAATCGCACGTAAAACATATGTGGTGAGTGACTTTTTGATTAATATTTCAGATATTTGGAATCTCTATCCCCTCGAGCAGACAACGAACCAAGACGAGAACTTTACTCACAAGAATGTAAGCGAGATGTGATCTGTTAAGTCATTATTGATGGCTATTTTGCTCCCAGTAGACATCATACCAACCAGATTTTATTCTCATTGATGTTTTATAGAACAAAGTGTTGACCTCCCCCTGTCGTTTATGCTTTTCTTGGGCCGACAGGAAGGGATGGGTGTAAGATCACGGTCTTTGATGTCAAATGCTAACTTATTTAACTTGATCCTGCCTCCTTGGTTTGATATCGTTTCAGTCGCTTGCCCACATTCAACTGCATCAGCAACCTTGAAAACCGTTCGCATGTTAGTTCAATTAGCCTATACGGGTATTGGTCGAACTAGTGCAACATTGAGTTTTGGGAGGACCAAATGTGATGAAATTCAGGTTTGTGCATTAGTTAAATCAACAGTTGTGTTTCCCAATACCTTGTATAGACAAACGATATAGTAGCAGTGGGAAGTGTTATGCTCTTTTCCCATCGCCTCCTTGCAATGCATATTATTCTCTAATCGCCGAACTCTCTTTGTTTGCGGGCGATAAGCGCGTGCCAAATGTTTTGAACCCCAGCTTGTGCGCGCATGAGGGAAATTCCATTTTCTGTTTCACAACTGCGCTGAATGTGAATCAGCTTCATACTCAGTGATTCCGTTTTGCTATCGCAACCACCACCGAATTTGTCTGTCCTTGCATGTTTTCGTGAATAATGAATGCATGTATATCTTATTCCGCTTCCAGCCATTGACCAAATTTCTCCACATAAAAGAATTACTCGTGAAGCAATCATTTCTTTCCAAACCGGATAGGATATCAGTCATGCAGTTTGATTTTTTCCATGGTCCTGATGGAATTCAACAGTCAGTAAGTGGTTGGTGTCATAATGGCCCAACAAATGCGACTGCGATTGATTCGGTTCCCTGCTAGCGGCAAGGCAACATCTTGTGGTATAGAGTTCTGGTCTGCTCGACCGGGAACCGGGCCGCATACCCGACGATCACACTGCACCCCGACATTACTGACATAAGCCCATATCTGTGAGTCTGTCTTCTTGGATGTACCTCACTATTCCTTGTACATTAATATTGACAGTTATCAAAACGGTTGGCGTATATTGAATAATGGTTGTTCATTTCATTCGGTCAAGCCTTTTCTTACCTTCCAGTTCAGTAACGTTTTCTCTTGTATTCCCATCCATGTCATCATCCGTTTTCGTCTTCCCATATTCTGTTCCACTGACCTCGTTATCTATATTGTTCATGTGTTCCGTATTATGGCCTCGGACGGCTATTCCATCTGTTCCTTTCGGTGTGCCAGTACCACCTGAAACGCGAATTATTCAACATCCACGCGTTTTGTGAATTTCATTGCAACACTAAAACATTATCTCTCTTTGGTTAACAAATATTCGTCAGTTCAACTAGCAAATCTGCATACCGTGTTTTTTGTCGATCACTGGGAAAATGTCTTTATTAGAAGAAATGCTTTTTATTGGCCGGTTGTATGCGTTAGATGGATAAGTGATTTGACATGAAACAACCATATTTCATTCATCAATTACCGTTGTTTCGCCGTACTCTAATTGGACAGTCTTTTTATGGGATTGGTATTACACTCCTGCTCGCAGCTAGAGTCCACACAAAGAATTGAAATTGTCATGGAAGCGCAGATGAGATATCCTTTATCCTTCAAACAAACTGATAACCTCAGTCCGTATGGCTCAATGTTTTAGTCTTTGTCGCATACAACGTCTGATGACATTTTTATCGTTGCGATATTAGCTTAAGCACACCTGCGTTTGTATGAACTTGTCAGTTGTATCCATTTAACTAACCTGTCACATATTTTTGGTTGAGAGTGGTGAAACCGTCAGGTCAAATATGACCTTTGATCATGTAACAGAATAACGGATGTGTGAGCTTTCTGCTGAGAAGCAATTTGGGATATTCAATAAATTTTGTAAGTTAACACTGTAAATACCGGAGGATATCAAGGTGGCGACCAAAGAAATCAAGTGTTCAAAAGCTATTTTATTTGATAACTAAAAAATGTTCCCGCCACATTCTCAAAACTGCGCCTTGCTTTCCAACGAACACTCAGTTTCCACCACACGCAGAAATTGGTAAATGTTGTCGGTACTTTGGAGTTGGGTGGCTAAGCCCTAAATTCAACCGTTTTCCCTGATCTCGGCACACCGGTTGCCTTACACACACGTAACCCCGATGTTAGTGCACTTGTTAGCGAGTGATCACTAAATACAGTTCGACTGAGGTAAGCGGAAGACAGCGATTAGCTAATCAGTTCTTTAGACCTGCATTAATGATCTGCCCACGTTGAAGGAGGCTTCTTTTCAAATAATTACATAGTTCTCTAGATATCTTATCTACGATTATATTAATTGGTTTTCATTTTCAATATTTTTCATTTTGTTGCTAGATAGTATCACATGAGTTATGAGTTGTGAGTTATGAGTTTATTCGTTCTTCTAATCCAGCAAAATATAAACAACCCGAGTGACTCAACTGCGAGCTGTATTTGAGAACGAACGGCCTACCCCCTTTAGCTCTACTCGTGCAAATCCACTACTTGCTGTTGGCATCACGCAAGCCCAACTAACGTGCTCGGTAACCTCACAGTGTGGCCAAGGTATCCAGTAAGCTGGTNATCAGATGAGAAAGCAGACGGTTCGCTAGTCCCAACATTCATCCCGTTCCCCAGTGGTCCAATTTTCTATTTTGCTTATGTTCCGAAGCCCTGATTCAGTCACCATTTTACTCCTGTAAACAATCCTCTATAATTTTATACATCCAGTTCACTTAACCAATTTCATAGCGGCGAGGAAAAATCACATATCAGCCGGATAACAGGAATTCAGTTATTTCGGGTACTCTCAATCAGCTCCAAACGTACAATGACAATCTAGGTTATACAACAAT